TAATCTAATCTAATCTACAGTCCTAGAATACCGGGAGAAATAGTGTTGTGATGGGCATGTTATTTGACAAGGATACTTGCATGTTTATTACGTGATTAGATGTCTAGGCTGTTCGAGTAGTCCTTATGATATTTGCTATATCTATTGAGGGAAGTTTGTGTGTGCAGAAGCTGACTAGCGGCCGCACACGAGTATAAGCAGCGATTGTTCGGCACACAATTTACTTAAAAATTAAGTACGACTCGTAACCTGACAAGGGCCAAAAGAGGAGGGCAAGACTGAACACCTGTACGCGGTGTCCTCTACGAACCTGGGAGTGAAATATTCTCCCAAAGCCAAGTTCAGTCAAATTTCGCAATATCAAATAAGTTGGCCCACGAGGCAAAAATCCAAATTACTCCTCCACGTCGTTATTTCGCTCCCAACGAGTTTGACGCCTATCTTCGTCTCATCGAGTCTACAAGTACGACCAAGTACATCCTCATTCCAATGACCACACCACTCTTCGACCTTCTCTGGCCTCAGCTGGTCACCAAATACACGCCCACGCCGATATTTATACCCGACGGAGGAAGGAAAGCGTGGCGCACAAATCTGGGAGACAGTTCTTTGGGATGGATGTGAGAGGGATCTGGACAAGTTGACAAGATGATGCGAAGGACGGATATAACCTCGAAGGGCATGAGATTCCGAATTTTGGCAAGGAGTTTTTCGAATTGGGCTTTGTGCGCGCCAAGACTTCGCTTGCGAGAGTGCAGCTGACACTATAAAAACAAGCCAACGATGGAAGGTGTTGTGGTCCGCCTCCTGGTGGTGTTCTCCGGTATGGTCTGAGTAGCCTGGGCACCTACTCCACATGGGAAGGAGATATCTCAGACCATATTTCGCGCGGAGAAAAGTTGAAAGATGATGGAGGCATGTCTGGATAACTCAGGGTTTTTGAGACGTTCCCCTGGGTGGGTATTCACGGATGAGGGTTTACTTGGGGTGAAGAAAAAGCCACCATAACTTCGCAGTGGTACTTGCAAATGAAATTTGAGGCATGAGTGCTCTTCCTTTACCTTGAATCATCTATTCAGTACTTTTCTTTGATATTGTGTCATAGCTAGATAGCTGCATACGCAATTAAAATCTAATGCAAAAAAAAAAAAAAAAGGGCCAAAAGCAGTTTGGCAATGCAAATACGAAGTGAGCAGATGGGACTTAACTCGTATTTACACAGAAGAAATGTATCCGGAGTACTAAGTCCAACTTGTCCATGTTGCTACCAACCACAGAACCCCAAGGGGGGACTATTCTCAACACCTGTCAGTGGTGTCCCCTACGAACCTCCAGCTCTCACTGTAGAGTCTGCAGAGCCGAGATTGAGTAACAAAGTCCTCACTTCGACGAGGATTCCTAATCGCTTTCGCCGTCTGTATCGTCTTCATCTCTCAACACATTACCCTATCACCATTATCATGAAGCTAACCACGATCAGATCAGATGGTAGGGTCGGAGCCCTACTCATCACCAACCCTTGATCATGGAGGAGAAGCCATCCGATGAGTTTTCGGAGCGTACCCAGCACCCGATACGGAGATGGCGGATTGGATCAAGTCGACCTCAACTGTTACAAAGAAGGGAGATATAGATGAATATGTGCACCTCGTGTGGTCCCGGTGTCTAGGCCTCGCCTGGCTGGGGCTGCAGGTTTTTTGAGACTTTTTCCCGCGCACGCAGTTTCCATTGCTACCATTTTTATTTTTTTTGGGTAGAAGGTTCCGTGGAAAAAGTGGCCGAATTCCACGGGTAGATACTGAGCTGAATGGCTATTCATCAAGGGGAATATATCAATGATCTTTCAAGTAACAAAAAAGGATAGGAGCACTGTATAAGGTGTGGCCTGGGTCAGAGGAGAGCTCAATGTGCTAGATAGTCATAGACTCAAGTAGTACAATAAAACACACACACACACACACAGAACCCCAAGCATATGATTATGTGCTGCCCCCGATGGTCAAATGGTTGAGCTGAGATCTGGAGACAAGCCAAAGATCGATCCTACGAAGCGATGATAAACAATCCTGGAGATATAAAAAGGATAACACAGTGGATCCTAAACCATGGTTGGATAGAGCAATTCCAGATGACAAAGGCTGTCGAAATGCTACTGAGTGAAAGGAACAGGTCAAATAATGCTTGGGGCGGATAGAGATGATCTGGTTGGTTTACATGGATGTCACTATAGTGTAACTGCGCTTCCTGAAGAAAATTTGTGAGAACTGTAGACAACAAGTAGAAAGGTGTGGGAGGTTTTAACCATAAAGTTTTCCTCCCGAGTAAACGTTATAGATTATAGACACCTGCATGGGCCCACAGGGAGCCAAATCAGGTTAATGAAATCAAATACAAAAGAAATTAAGTACAATTATCCTCCAATTTACCTTCAACCACATTCCATTCTGATCGATCTATATATTCGCACAAGGTTAGCATGCATAGTGATACTCACCAAACTCATAACTATAATAAGTAGGAATCAAGTTGTTTTTACTGAGTTATCTTTTACTTTAATTACACACACTTCGCCTGTCACAAGTTAGGCTCTCAGTTACCTGATAATAACCGTAACGAGATCTGAATTTGATTTCAATTAACCCGATCAGGCACCGAATGGGTCCATGCAGGTGAATATCTGCATTATTTACAGAGGAAACCAATTTGGTGAAAACCCCCTGATCCTGTCTTTTTATGTTCCTATCAATTTATTTGGTTTACCTTCAGGAAGTGCAGTGTACACTGTTCAGCCCGTGTGGATTCCGTCCTCTCCCCTTCCAGATCTATTTACTTTATCCGACATTGCTACCTCGACTTCCTCTGCAAGTCGAAACTGTTTTATCCACCCTTTGTTAAGTATCCACTGTGTAATTCTAGCCATATCTTCTGGGCTGTTCATCATTGCTTCAAATGACCTGTCTTTAGCTTGTCGGAGAAAGTCGCCTCTTCCATTTGCCCACTGCGGACACGCCAACACCATATGCTTGACATTCTGCGACGGATACCCACATTGACACCTTCGTTTTTCTACTCCGGGTACTTTTCTTCTGCTCAGATAAGAATTGAGTCCAATATGCTCGCTCCTTAGCTGAATGGCGACACTGCTTTGGGCCCTGGTTAGGAACCGGAACGAGATGTTAGCGAGGGGAATTTTTATATTGATATGTTTAGTTTATCTCGAAACTATAATATTTTAACAATTTGATTTGAAAGTGGGCAAGGTGCAGGGTAGTTTTTGTCTAGGCAATTTAATTTTTTTTCATATACTTACTCAGCCTAATAAGCTGGTCAGATAGGTAATAGTGAGTCTTTAAGGATCACACGCCCGTATCATGCCTTTTAGGTGTAGGGCTTTTGCCTGATACTAAATTAATACATACATACGCTGGCGGAGGAGAGATCAGGATGAGGAATGCTGACTTAACACTGATTATTGTTTCTTTTCTCTTCACTGCATTTTTTGTTCAATAATGTTATGATGCGAACACTCTCAGCCAATTAGAAAAGCTGCGTTAGATGATTTAGAGATCTATACAAGATTCGGTTGGTGTAGTGACACCATAGATAGTTGCATGTGGATGATATGTACAAGAATGTAGACTATTCTATAGCATATGATAGAATATCTTACATCACAAGATGGAAAATTCTACTAGCAAGTAGGTAGATGAGCTTGAGGTATAAATAGGGGTATTCTCCTTCATGTGGATGGCAATAATCGGGAAACAATTCTAACAAAGCAAACACATATCATTGTCCATTCCATAATAGTTTCAAGTACATTATTTTGATAAAGCCACTGTTTGTGAGCAATTCCTCTCATCATAATCACAACAAATGAGCTCATGATTTACTAGCTCTCTTTTTTTTTTGCATGAGGTTTTAATTGCGTATGCAGCTATCTAGCTATGACACAATATCAGAGAAATATACAGAAAAGATGACTCAATTTACAAGAAGAGCACTTATGCCTCAGACTTCATTTGCAAGTACCACTGTGAAGTTATGGCGGCTTTTTCTTCACCCCAAGTCAACCCTCATCCGTGAATACCCACCCAGGGAAACGTCTCAAAAACTCTGAGTTATCCAGACATGCCTCCGTCATCCATCAAATTTTCTCCGTGCGAAATATAATCTGAGATGTCTCCCCAAGTGGAGTAGGTTTTATTAGCTCTCAAATGGGTGTGAACGAGCAGGGCAAGCCCAAAGGTTGAATCTCAGCCGGCTCCACCGGTTCTATATTTAAATAGATAGAAAGTTACAGTCTTGGATTTAAACCTAAACAATTAAATACAAATTAGATGACTCAATTTAAAAATATAGTGCTTATCCCTCGGATTTCTGTATTTGTCCAGCTGTGCGACCCAAATTCACTTATTGTCATAGCTAGATAGCTGAATACAATATGAATTAAAAAAAAAAAAAAAAAAAAAAGACCCAAATTCACTGAGCCTTTTAGGTATGCCTTATGATACCCAAGAAATCAGGCTGGGAACCCCAGATATTTTTCTTTCTATTACATACTTAAATAGCGTATTGTAATATAACTCTTGGGTTCAAGAAGATTGTTACAGAGCTCAGCAAAGATTGAGTCTAATGGATTCCTGATAAAAAATTATCTGCCTAGTTTGTTCGCTCGAGTATATCTGCAATGAAGGATATCCACAAGAGACAAACCATTTTACTCCGTTCGAACTAACACATCATCATCAAACATTTTTAATCCACTGACAAGTAAGGATTTATTCGCGCCTGTAAAAGAATATTTGGCATTTGATTTTGTAAAGCATGACAAACGTACACGTTTAAGCGTGCATCATCTGATAATATGATTAGTCACATGACTAAGTATAGCATTGTTCATTCAGCTAACGTGTCACATTAATCATTTGAATAGTATCGCTACCTTGTACTTCTTCATCTTGTCCCTTGCATGGCAATTGTTTGTTGTGAAATTCATTATGTCTCACAGCTACACCTCTACAAATCGACATGTGGAAAATAGCAAATCAGAGGGAGAGCTTTCAATTAACATTCGAAAAGCTACCAGTATTGAGGAATCCGCCCCGAAGAGGAAGCACGTCAGAAGCTGTATTGTGTATACATGGGATCACAAATCTTCAAGTGCTTTCTGGGCTGGTATGAAAGTGTCAGTATGAATTAATTTCCAGTCCTTGGAGGAAATGGTGGCACCCAAAATTTTGGAATCAAAAATGATACTGCGCAGAGACGCTAATCAATATTTGCAGACAACCAATTTTAGCAGATGAGGTCCAGACTTTTAAGGCTTTAATAACTGTTCACAAGGTTTTACAAGAAGGACATCCATCGTCACTAAGAGAGGCCTTAGCAAACAGAAACTGGATTGATAGTCTAAATAGAGGCCTGAACGGCGAAGGTATTCGCGGATACGGTCCTTTAATTAGGGATTACGTGACATATCTTCTCGCCAAGCTAAGCTTTCATTCACAACACCCTGATTTTAACGGCACATTTGAGTACGAAGACTATATTAGCTTAAAGGGAATCAATGACCCAAACGAAGGATACGAAACTATTTCCAACCTAATGGCACTTCAAGATAAAATTGAACAGTTTCAGAAACTCATATTTTCACATTTTCGAAGTGGTGGAAACAATGAATGTAGAATATCTGCTTTAGTGCCTTTAGTTCAAGAAAGTTACGGCATTTATAAATTTATCACCAGTATGCTTCGAGCAATGCATACCAGTACGTTTTGTGATACTTCAAATGCTTCCACCTGACAGGCCACAGCTACCGGAGATGACGAGGCTTTGGAGCCACTAAGAGTTCAATATGACGCTCAGCATTACCGTTTAGTCAAATTTTACTATGAGTGCTCAAACCTCCGGTACTTAACTAGCTTAATTACAGTGCCAACACTTCCCCAAGAGCCGCCCAACCTTTTATCTGAAGAAGAATCTGCTCCATGTCTTCCTCAGCGGCCAACTCAGGAAGTTAGCATTCAAAAATCACCACAAAATCCTAAGACAGATGAACCTGACCAGATAGGAGAGTTCTGGAAGATAGAACAAGCGCGTCAGAATAAGGAATTTGAAGAGCAACAGAGGGCTTTTGAAGAGCATCAGGCTCAGCAGTTTTACAATCAACAGCAAGCTGCAATGCAAGCGCAACGAGAATTTGAAGGACAGCAAATAATGTTAGCAGAGCAGCAAAGACAGGACCAGGAGGCATTGTTATCTCAACAATTACAGCAACAGACACAAGGTCGTATGGCCATGTTAGAACAAGAAAACCTCGATGCAAGAGCTCAATATGCTCGAGATCAATTAATGCTACAGCAATACGACATGAAAATTAAGGCTCTTGAGAGTGAACTAGGCCAATTTCAAACTAATTATGAGCAGCAGATCGGTAACAAAGACGAGCAGATACGGGCACTACAGCAACAGCTTAATACCTGGCGAACAAAATATGAAGCTCTTGCAAAGTTGTATTCGCAGCTTCGCCATGAGCATCTTGACCTACTCCAAAAATTTAAATCAGCACAATTGAAAGCAGCATCAGCCCAGGAAGCAATAGACAAACGCGAGAAACTTGAGCGCGATATAAAAACCAAAAACCTTGAGCTAGCTGATATAATAAGGGAGCGTGATAGGGCTTTGCTTGAGAAAGACCGGATCGCTGGTGGTAGCCGAGAAGAACTCGAAAAACTAAAGAGAGAATTGAGAATGGCCATTGATCGTGCCGAAAATGTCGAACGAAAAAAAGAGGAAGAGCTATCTTTTATGCTCTCAAAGTACAAGCGAGAGATGGCAGATCTCGAAGAAAACCTTCATAAAAAATCTCAAGATCTTGAAGATCTTCACCAAAAATTTAATGAAGGTGGCTTAGACGCAGAGCGTCTACTACGAGAGAAAGAAGATGAATTAGAAGTTTACAAGCAAAGCCTTGACGATACTCTCATAAAACTTAATGAGCTCGAGATTTCGACCGGTGCAACTGACCAGGCCTTAGACGGAGAGATTGACGCCATGCTTCTTGCAAATATCGGTAAGATCAACGATATGATAGACTCTGTCCTACAGAGTGGTGTTCAGCGTGTCGACGATGCAATTTACGAGCTTGACTCGTCGATGCAAGCTGGTAATCAAAATGCAACACCTTCTTATGTTCTCTCACAAATTGAAAAGGCCTCTTCAAGTGCAATGGAGTTTGCTACATCCTTTAACAACTTTATTGCGGATGGGCCCAACAGTACCCATACTGAAATTATTCGTACCATAAATGTCTTTTCCAGTTCTATTGCTGATGTACTGAGTAATACAAAAGGTCTAACCAGGCTTGCCGCAGATGAAAATAAGTCAGACCAACTGACAAATGGAGCACGACAATCAGCTCTCTCTACCGTTAAATTTTTTCGTAGCCTTCAAAGCTTTCGTCTGGATGGTATGGATGATGAGCAGAAAACTGACGTTGTCATTAACAACAACAATGATGTATTAATTAACTTACAAAAGCTAAGTAAAATTGTTGAATCATTATCTCCGAACGGCGCAAAACTAGCAAATAATAAGGGAGATTTAAGCGATCTTGTCGATTCTGAATTAACTAAAGCAGCAGATGCTATTTGTGCCGCTGCAGACCGTCTAGCAAAGCTGAAATCAAAGCCTACAGAAGGATACTCTACTTATGAACTACTAATTCATGAATCAATTCTCGATGCCGCCATTGCTGTGACAAATTCTATAGGTAAACTAATTAAAGCAGCAACCATCACCCAACAAGAGATTGTCCATGCTGGGCGCGGAACTTCTTCCAAAAGTACATTTTATAAGAAGAACAACAGATGGACTGAGGGTCTGATCTCAGCAGCCAAAGCTGTAGCCTCCTCTACTAACGTATTAATTGAAACTGCGGATGGTGTCCTATCAGGACGGAATAGTCCTGAGCAGCTTATAGTAGCTTCAAATAATGTTGCCGCATCTACTGCTCAGCTTGTGGCGGCGAGTCGTGTCAAAGCAGGCTTTATGAGCAAGAGCCAAGAATCACTAGAGCAAGCAAGTAAGGCTGTCGGTGTGGCCTGTAGAGATCTCGTGCGCCAAGTCCAAAGTATGATAAAAGACCGAGATAATGAGGATGAAGTAGTCGATTACGGCAAGCTAGGAGCTCATGAATTTAAAGTCAGGGAGATGGAGCAACAGGTCATTTTTCCGAATCAAATTATAGTTTTAATTTACTAATATTTTCAATTACAGGTCGAAATTCTCCAGCTTGAGAATAATTTAGCTGCTGCCAGGCAGAGACTTGGTCAAATGAGAAAAGTATCATACCAGGAATAATTCTGTGCAGCAAATAATTCAATCTTATTCTTAGATCAAAATCCAAACACTGTTATCCCAGGTAATATTGATTGACCAATAATACTCTGTCGATCTATCACACTTGACAGGTGACAAGGTTAGGATATCAAGGGAAATAATGGTTCATTTCAACTAAGCGAATAAAACACTAGTGTCACGCTCCACGTTTTATGGGTTTCCAACCTATTTTGTAATGAAAACTTGCGTTTTCCATTTGTAGATTATACGTAGACTTGTAAATTCTAGCTCTTCGTCATCCCCGGCAGCTACTCATGGCCACAGCTAATATTAGCCCAACTACAGCCTTAAAGCTTGAAAGACTGACAAAAGTTCAGGTCCAATCGTCCCAAAGATTCCAAAATAATGAGAATGATTCCAAACTTACCGAAAAATGCTGGAAATCGCAAAATATATGCCAAAAAATACGTCCAATTCAAGCTCAGTTCACTCGCACTCGTTGGATTCGAAGACAACCCGAAAAAAAAAAAAAAGCTAAAACTAAACCGATGAACTCTTGGATTGGCTTCAGGGGTATGCCAAGCAATATTTCAGAGTAATCATAACTGACGGTAGACAGCTTTCTATAAAGATGTATTCCCAAATATGCCGCAAAAAGATGCATCCTCAATTCTTACAATCCTATGGAACAAGGATCCTTTTAAGGTCAAATGGGCAATAGTTTCGGCAGCCTACTCTAAAATTCGAGATGCAGTCACTAAAAAGTGTGCGCCTCTAAATGTTTACTTGGGATTAGTATGTCCACATGTTGGGATACCTACAGTTGAGGAGTACCTTGAAAAACTCAACTGGACCAGCTACACCGATGAAAGAGGCCTTATAACTTTTAAACAGAAGATTGTTCCCGCAATTTCAGCCTCGTCCAATGAATTATTGAGCTCCGTAGTAACAAGTGGCGAGGTAATTCAACTATGTGCAGATAAAGGCTATATTTCGCAAGCAATAGCTAGACAAATCAACAGCGAAGTCAATGACTTTGTATCCTTTTTTGGATCCAAAGGTCCAATACAAAATCAACTACCTTTTCAAGACTCCAGCCAAATAGAATGCAACGCTTTTGAGTGCTCTCAAATCTACGAAGACCAATCTAGAAGCTTTGCAATCGAATCTAACAGTCCAAATCCTGCCGAAGATTTTGACTTCGAGCGCTTTATCCTAGAAGAAAATTATGCAATAGGATACCCGGGAATGACTGACAGCCATGGCCACGAGGAAATACTAGATGAAAACGGTATCTTGCAGAAGAACTATTCTCAGATATCTATTTACGAAAATCTCAATACTCAGAGCATTCTAAAAGAAAACATTTAGTAATAGCATCCAATATCAAAAAATGAAGATTAAACTTATAAAATAATTGATAAGGGATTGTAATGTATGCAAGTCTACCAGTCAAAATGACACAACTTACTAGAAAATATTCTTCAGACATAATGAATAACATAATTAATTCAAAATTATCCTATTGCAACATGAGCTGGTGTGTTAACAAACTTTTTTTCTAGTCTCAACAGAAAAACTTATGTTAACTGAATGAAATTTATCGGCGCGAACGAGTAAATCGCAAATTCGATACTCAATAAGTCATTCGAAAATTTTAAATTACAGATACAACAGGTTACTCATTGTTTTACGTATAGATATTACTTTCACGGATAAATTTTCAATCAGGCCAGAACATTAAATATTATTAGGTAGTGTTGTGATCAGTGAATAATATACACAGCTTAAAGTTGATTTTTACATGCTAAGCGCATTGCTCTCAACATATATCATTTCATTAATTGCCCTTGAGTTTACTTAAATATAAGTTTTTGAAGGATAATATAACTCAATGTATGGCAGTTCTTTAAACAGAAATTACTCTCTCTTCATTTATCCAAAGTGTAACTAAAAGTTTCAGTATGGGCGGCGCCTAAACGGCCAACTGTGATCCAATTTGTGTACCCTACGTCTTCCTACAAGAACTAGGCGTGTAGATAACAAGATTACACTAATAGAGACTGTTAGCCTAATCCCCTGTGATAGCAAAGTTAAATTCGCATTGTGATCAACATTTTTTAAAGTGATAAAGATATGTATCACCATCACTCAAGTAAGTTGTCTCAAAGCTGTGTAACCCGAACATCTGCAGTTATTTTCCGGCCCACCTTGCCGCCGTAGATCGGCAGATTCCACCTTTTGTACGACAAGGTAGATCCCTGTTTATTGAAGGAGATGTTCTTTTTTTACATAAGTTTTGAATTGCGTATGTAATTATCTTATTAATTCATTTTATTGTCCTTTCTGAGTCTATGAATATGTAGGACATGCAGGTGCTCTCTGTCTACAGGCCAAGGATACCATTACCAGTAGTATATCCCCTCCTATGCCTCCCATACAACTCCCCTCAAACAGTACCACCCCTCAAAAGTCCTCATTACATCATACACTAAGAGGAGCTCTTTGCCCTTTATTATCTCCCCTCTCCAGCCAACGAAACGATAGCCATTTGAGGGTGTATAGCAGCCGTGAAAAATCGCAGAAACCACTGGGTGCGGGGCTCTCCTAATACCAACATTAGGACTAAATCCGAAGACATAGTGCCCTTTCCGAAGCGTTTGAAGAGGCCGGCCAGCTGGGCGCTGCAGACTTGTGGGTACCTCGAAGAATTCACCCTCTGCTTTTCTAGCCTCCTCCCAACTCTTTCCCAAAGGTCGTGCTGGAATGTCAGAAAATTCTTGACAGAGCGTGTTTGCTGCATGGCAGCCTAGCCCGACTTCTTTTGTACCGTCCAGGGCGTTGGGGAGTGCCGTTGACTCATCGACAATAGAAATCCGCATGGCTAATTAGCCGAAATATCAGTCTTGGCGCCCACAAACATTACAAACTTGAAACCCCTCATGAATATCATTCCTACCATGGTCTTCTGAAACCTATTCCCCTCTCGATCCACATCTCAGCCGCCTCTCCTCCCTCAAGTTGTTTGTCACATTAGAGCAACAACCCCCCATAAACCAGGATCTAGGCTTTGTATTTTTCAACTTGATTTCCTACTTGTGGGTATAAATAGCATCGTGAATATGTAGTGAGAGATGGCTGGAAATCAATGGGGCAAGATCTTGTTTGCAATCGTAGCAAATCCTTTATCAGTCGTGGAAGCGAGATGATGCGTGATTAGAAAGAGATTGAGGACTCAGATGAGAATGATAAGAGAGGCATTGTCCAGAAATCCTCAAATGGAGATATACTCGAGGTTGCTTTCGACTTCGATGTGCGTATGTAATTACCTATATAACATATAATATCAGAGAAAGGCTGCATGATAGATGACTCAATCTAAAAGAAGGGCACTAATGCTTTATATTTCAGTTGGAAGTACCACTGCGAGGTTGTAGCAGCTTTTTCTTCACCCCAAGTCAACCCTCATCCGTGAATACCCACCTAGGGAAACGTCTCATAAACCCTGCGTTATCCAGACATGCCTCCATCATATGTTTACTTTTCTCTGCGCGGAATGTAGTCCAAAGCGTCTCCTTCCTAAATGGAGTGGGTGTCTAGGCTAGTCAAACTTCTCCAGAGAACATCAACAAGAAGTGGACCTCGGCACCTTTTATCATCGGCTTGTGTTTACAGTGTCAGCAGCACTCTAGTAATCGAATATTGGCACGCACTAAGCTCCTTTTGTAAACCCAGTTGCCAAAATTCAAAATCTCTCACCAGTCATGATAGCATCTATGCTTTGCATTATCTATTACTCTTGTCCGGATTTCTCTCATATCAATACCAAATAACTGTCCCCCAGATTTGTACGGCACGCTTTATTTCCTCCGTAAGGTGTATATATCGGTGTTGCCGTGTATCTGGTGAACTGCTGAGGCCAGAGAAAGTCTAGAAGAGGTGTGATCATATGAATAAGGATTTATTTAGTCGTGCTTGTAAACTTGATAAGACTGAGGTAGGATTCGATCTCTTTGAGAGTATCCTGAAATTTTATTTCTATTTTGATTAAATTTAACGTCGTGCCTGTCCACAGCTCGTGACTAATGTCACGTACCGGACGGCCCAGTCCCTACAGAACTACCCGACGCTCTACCGCGCAATACGGCATCTAGAAATTACAAAAGAGTCTGACCAGCTGTCCGCCTGGAGGACGAAGGCTGAACACCTGTCAGTGGTGGACTCTATGAACCTGGGTGTGAAATATTCTCCCAGAGCCGAGATTCAGTCACGACAAAGGGTAAATTTGAGAGTTTTCGTCGAGTTGACGATCGGGAGGAGTGGTGTTGGCTCATTTTTGGTCGAAACTCCGAGTTGCAGAGATTTCACAACTGCACAACTCAACGAAATCAACCATCTACACCCCAGGTATGAACCACAAACAGGCTATAACCTATCTTGTTTTCGTCTCACAACAACCGAAACCTTCAAGATCTTAATTTCTTTTTCTCTGGAAATTCATTCTTAGTCAAACTCATCTCGCGGCCCTCTCCACAATCATCTCATCACCTACCAAAGCAATCCCATACCTCCAAAAGCCAAATCGCCAACTAAGAAGCAAGAAGATGTCCGACCCTCCGCAACTGCAAGTCGCTGTGAAGGTACGGCCGAAATACCGGCCTTGAATGCGTCCTCACCTCGGCCAAGGGCACCAAAACTTCGACCTGCGACTAATTGGCACCGGTGAAATACGTACGACATTTCGCCGGCACACCAACTAGAGCTTTCGACAAAGGCTAGAGCACCGGTGCCTCGGTCTTGAGCTCTTAGTCTCATTTTCGAACTCCACGGTTAGGGGTACGGCAGCAACGGGGCAAGGCCGGAGAGGTGGAGATTCTATAAAGTTTCTGGGATGACGAGATCGGCTGAACGACAGAGGAATGCTGCATGAAGGAACCAAAAGCGAATATAAACTGAGGAGGCCTTGGTAGGCGACTGGATGAGGCCTTCGATGAAGAAAACAACCACTGCATCAGATGAGG